GCCCCACTCAGTGGCTATGTGATGGCAGAAAGTGACCTCACTTCTCCTTGAACTGGGACAATGCCACCTACCCTCCAGTGTGGCGGTGGAACTGGAGGGGAGGAATGTAGAGTGCCTCGTCATTTTGCAATGTCTTGGGAGTCTATTTCAAAATAAAAAGTTAAAAAAAAAATGCTGGGACTTAGGAAACCAAACAGGCAATTTTGTTAGACTCATAATTAAATGAAGACAGTGCTCTAAAAGCCTTGGGGTTATGCTGTTTGTAATCATGTTAAAATAATAATAAACTAAATGGTTTAAGTGGAAAAAAAAAATCAATTCTTCAGTTGCAGTGAGCTCAGGCACTCAATAGAATGAGTCCTTACAGGTCATCTGAGTCCCCATGAGGGTCAGGGCACCTCCCTGCCCCACACGGTGTTTTCCCGAAACACAAGACAGCAAGTAGCAGCTGGAGGGACAGCTAGGGTGCTGGGTCCTCAGGCAGAAACTCCCAGGTCCCTAGCCTGGGGAATGTGGAGGCAACAAAGTAGGCGGAGGGAAGCTTCTAGCTGAAGCTCGCTGGCGTAATTCTTCCCTGTCCAAGGAAAGGTCCAGGCCACAGAGGAAGGATGACAGCTCCCCTACTTACTGCCTAAGGGGTGGGGGAATGTGACTTGCCTTCTCTCTACAATGGGATAATGCCCCCATTCCTGCAGTGAGGACTGGGAAAGGTTTGTAGAGTGCCCAACACAAGGCCAGACACACAGTAGGAGCTCATGAATGTCCAATTCCTGATCAGACCGGGGGGGGGGGGTCCAAATAAAGCAGCCACTCTGTGTCCAGCCCTGCGACGGAAATGCGGGAGGAGTAGATAGGGGCCTTGTCTCCAAGGAAGGCCATAAAGGTCAGCAAAAACAGCCGGGGTATCTGCCTCACCCTACATGATGTGAGACCGGAGGGATACTTCCCCTTCTCCCCTCCCCCCTGCTCCCAAGGCCTCAGGCCCTGGCATAATTCTCCGCCTCTTCCTGCCTCAAAAACTGCTTGGGTTTTCCTTCCAGAGCTGCCTTGCTGGAGAGAAGCACCTGTCCCACATGAAGGTCATAACTCTCCATGTCCCTCCTGACGGCTCTGTGGGCCTCACAAACACATAGAAGGAAGGGTCTAGGCATCATGGATCTTCACCCCAAGGCCCAGACAGTGGGTTCAGACTGGGAGAAACAACTGGGCTTGGGGGCAGGGTCCTCACTGAGGACAGTTCCCCTATAGCCCTTTATCCAGGATCTGACTGAAGGCAGATATCAAACCACTGGCCTGATCATTGCACGGGCTCTCTGTCCTCACCTTCTTGACTCTGCTCCCAGCCGTCTGGCCCCAACTGTGACTCCAGCCATACTGCGGGACACTCAGTCTTCTGGGATGGGGCCTCTGCCTTTGGCCACAGAAGGCCCAGACCCTCAGCTGTCTTCCCACCCACAGGCTGACCCTGAACTCAGGCCAGACACTACCCAGACATACCACAAGCCTGTGTCCTAGAGCCTAAGATTTATGGCTCACATGTGGGATTTTTTTCTTGGCCAGGATTTGACTGGCAGATGAGAGAGCTTGTGGCCCTGTGAAGGCATGGCTTCCCTCTTTGCTCTCAATTCCTTTGCCTTCTCTGTCATTGGCACCAGCCAGTCAAACTCCTGGGACCCCCTGCCCAAGCCTGCAGCCAGGCCCGTCACATCCTGGAGCCTCTGAGGCTAACACTGAGACCCTTCTGGAATAATCGGTGCTCTTGCTCTCTCCCTGTGGCTGTTCCTTGCTCCGCGAGGGCTGGCAGAGCCGCTCCCGAGGCTGGTTGCCCGCCCTCCAGAGGCTTCTAGGTGGGAAGGCAGCTCGTGTGTTTGTCCCAGGTGCTGCGGAGCCGCGTTGCCGGGGCTGAACCCAAGGGAATGGGCAGGTGACCTCAGACACCCTTCTGAGAGGCAGGCGGGTAGAAACAGAGAATTCACTGGTGTTAAATAATCGAGTAGGTGCTGGCCGCTGCCCGGAGCCCCTCACCAGTACGTGTTCCCACCCCTCACTGCTGCCAGTGTTCAGTGCTGGGGGCTCACGGCCATGAGCCTGTGAGCTCATGCCAGAGGGAAGGCATGCCCTCTGCCTGCCGTTCAAGTGAGGGAGTGAGCAGAGTATGAAAGGGTTAGGAAGTGTCTAGAGGGCAGGGGGAAGCCAGGAACAGGCCTGGGAGCCCCCCAGGTGGGATTCCACACGGCCCGCAATGCCCACGCTGAAGTCCTGAAAAGTGAGTGAGCAAGAGAGAAGCCTCAGAGAGGAAAACCCACTGTGAGCAGAGGAGAAAAGCAGCAAAACAGGGGAAAGGAAACTTCCTTTGGATGCGATGGGGGCCAGTCAACTTCCTTCCCCACTGTGCACAGGGCCCATAATGTCAGGGGTGGAAGGGATCCTGGGCTGGCCTTTCCCGGGAGCTGGGGATGGATAGGGCAGGTGACTTTCTCTATTAATAGGTGCCACTTATTAAGCACTTACTACAGGGCAGGCACTGTGCAAAGTGCTTCCCATGAATTCTTTTCATCCTCACCACAAGCCTGTAAGAGAAAACTGAAGTTCAGAGAGGACCCCAGTCCTGCCGCAGCTCTTGGGGTATCCTCCCCTGAGGTGGCTGATGGGGCGGGAGCCCTGGCCAGAGGTTCTGGTGTGGGTTACACCTCCTGGCTGTGTGGCCTGTGCAAGTCTATTAGCCTCCCTTGGCCTCAGTTTCCTTGTCAGTAAAATGGGGATAATAACCTCAGTGGGAGGAGCAAATGAGATCACACGAATGAGTGTGCTGTGTGAAACACCAGACACGTGTCAGGAATTGGTCATCTTAAGGGCTAACATTTATTTAAGTCCTGCTAGAGGCCAGCCACAATTCTAAGCCCCTGTAATGTATTAATTCATTTTATCCTGACAACAGCCCCATGAAGTAGATACTGTTATCATGCCTATTTTCCAGGTGAGAATACTGAGGCATAAAGAAGGTAATGCACTTGATACAAGCCAGACTTTGTGGGGGGAAGGAAGTCAGGCAGTGTGATTCCCCAGACGCTGGACTCTGGTAGCAGCCGGACAGGAGCCTTGGGATTCCCCTCCATGATCCAAGCCCACCTGTCCTCGGAGGTCAGCTCCAGGCCCTCCTCCTTCAGGAGGCTTTTGCCGCCTTCCTAAGCTCACAATGACACACTCCAAACACACTCAGAATTGCACGGCGGTGGAGAGAGTCACATCCTGCCACATCAGTTCCCGCATCAGGGAGCAGGTCTTGCCTCTCTCATCTCTCCTAGTAGCTTGAGGATTCTTCAGATGAAGGAAACAAACCTACCTCCCTCCTTGGCTTGCTAGGCCATCCCAGTCTGCAGCCTCAGCTGCTGATTCCCGGGCCTGGCCCAGGCTGAGCCCCCCGTAAGCACTCTCTGACCGAATGATGACGAGGTGGAACTTCCCCGGAGCACTGGCCACCAGCGGGGGAAAAAGCCCAACGTTCTCAAGGAAACAGGCAGCCTTCATGCCCCCAAGACCAAGTCCGCTCCTGATACCAGGGTGCCATGCTGGCTTCGTGGTGGCTCTGGGACACTTGTGTCCACAGCATCACAGCTGGGCTCCCAAGCCCTTGCTGGGCAGAGCACCTGGACTATACTGGAGCAACCTCGAAGCTCACACACACCCGGGTGTCGGACAATTCCAGATTCCCTCAGGACTCAGTGTAAAGCCAGGTAAAGCATCTAAGTCCCCCTGTGTGACCCCCTCGGCCAGGGATGGACAAACAGTCCTCTGCCTCCACGGAAGTAGCACAGGGGTGAGATTCTCTGCCCCTTCCCTGACTTGTTCTAATCTTGCCCAAACTGGGATGTGGAAGTTCTTCCTTGTCGCTAAACAAATTCTCTCCAATGTTAGCACGAGACTGGGAGGAACACCTTTCAGAGAGGACCCACTCCCAGAGGGCAGGGTCCCTGTGTGTGTTTGCAAGTCACCAAGCAGGTGCTGACCATGCGGTGAAGGTGGGCCAGAGAGTTAATGAGGTAAAGACCCTGCTTCTTGCAAAGGTCCCACTGATCGCCATTGCCACGGCCCAGCAGTAACGGCGGGCGGGGGCGAGGACCACTGTGACGTAGCCCAGCTCCACGGTCTGGGGAAAGACAGGGGATCCGGAGCCGGGAGGCAGCATCGCCCCCAGGTTCAGGGCAAAGATCCCAGACTAGAGCAGACCAAAGTTCACCCCTCAGCTCTGCCACCTTCATGACTAGTTACCCAACATCTCTGCACCCCAACATCTTCATCCCCCAAGCAGAAATGAGAACACACCCCTCAGCATGGAGATTTGTCCACGATAACAAAAAGTACTTTGTCAGCTATAAACTGTACACCAATTTAAAACATCCTAGCAATAGCAGACTAGGACACATCTGAGCAGGTTTTTCTCTAAATTACATGTGACCCATTGCTGTACACATGTTCCCAAATGATGTAGTGGTTAATGTGCCTTATGGCCAGACACATCTGGGTTCAAATCCTAACTCTGCCAAACCACAGGTCGTGTCACATAAGCTCTCGGAACCTCGGCTGGGTAATGTGCCAGGAGGATCCAAAATCGGACACGGGGAGTGTGCTCAGTTTAAGGGTGTCTGTGATTACAATGGGATTAGTGGGAAGAGCTCAGCCTGGAGTTCTTCATCCTTTCACCGAAGAACTTGATCTTCCCGCGCTTTCCATAAAGAGGAAACCACAGTCCCAACACCTAAGAAATTCCTTAGAAGTTACGTGGCCAGTAGAGATGGCCTGGGGATGATGGGAGAGGCCCCTGCGGGGGCAGTGGCCTTCACAGCCGGGGGCTTCCCCTCCTCTGGGGAGTTGTTAGGAGGTAGACTCATAGGCCTACCCTGCCCAGAATTTCCAGCGTAGCAGCCAGCCTTTTCTTGGCCTAAGAAATGCTGCTCCCCAGGTTGCCTCCCATCCCAACAGTGGGGCCCCCCAAAGCTTACCTGGAAGGAAGGGGATGATTCTCTGCTTGGGGTCCTTCTGGCCACCTTCGATGGGAAACTTATCCAAAAGCTGCATCTGAGAAGCCAAACAGACAGAGGGACAGGATTCAGAAGACTGGAGCAGCCCTCAGAGTCCCTTCCCCACTCCACTCCGCGGCTTCAGGGCCCCACTGCCCTCGTATGGATGAGTGACACTTCAACCCCTCGTTTCACAGATGATTAATAAACCACATGGGGCATGAGAGAGAGGAGGCCAGAGCTCTCCATGCATCAAAGGGGCGTCTGAACGATCTCAAGGAGGCGTGGAGGCACGGGGAGAAGTGGCTGAAGATGCCACTCATGAGGCCACGGGAGAGCAGCAGGCTTTCAGGGCAGGCTGCAGGTGGGGTTTCCAGAGCCTTCTTCGGGCCCACCTTCCTTCACACGTCATCTGCTGGGTGAGCCCTTTAGCCACGGGCCGTCTCACACCCTCCTAGGCCGGGACAGGGGAAGGCCCCACCTGATACTTCAGACAGACCACCCACCTTCCAGAACCACTCTGCAGAAACAGACCCAGATGTTATTTTAATTGTAAAACCAAACCCAGCCCACTGCCCCCACTGCTGTAAGACCCCTCCTCCATTTCCTACCTTCCCACCCTGAGATTGCTGCTGTTTTTCCAGGGACAGACCCACCGGAAGAGCTTCCAGGGTTCTGGAGGAACAACTCTTTTTTTTTTTCTTCTGCTATTCTGGGCTGAAATTCTGTATAAGCTGGAAAAACACACAGGAGACAGGATGGACGAGGCCACGGCCCCTCTGTGTGTGTGGTTAATCTCCCTTCCAAGGCACAGGCAGATGCAGGAGCAGAAGGGACAGGGCAGGATCTAGCCCAGCGGCCCCAGCTGTGTGACCCTGGCCAAGGCGTGGAAGCTTTCTCTGTAGGGCTCCAGGCACCTCCTTGGTCAAATGAGGAAGATCAGTCACATGATATCTGAAGTCCATTCCTTCCTTCAAATATTTATTGAGCACCTACTTGGAGCACTGAACACCAAGAAAATGGAAGTAAAGAAAAGCTGCAGGGGCACCTGGGTGGCTCAGTCAGTGAAGTGTCTGCCTTCGGCTCAGGTCATGATCCCAGGGGGTCTTGGGATTGAGCCCCCCATGGGGCTCCCTGCTCAGCAGGGGTCTGCTTCTCCCTCTACCCCTGCCCCTCCCCCTGCTCATGCTCTCACTCTCTCTCTCTCATAAATAAATAAAATCTTTTTAAAAAGAAAGAAAGAAAAGCAACAAAGTCTCTGCTTTGGGGGAGTTTACATTCTAGTGGAGGCGGACAAACAGTAAACAAATAAATATGTACTGATTAAACCTATGAAGAAAAATGAAGTCAGGGAAGGCGTTGGAGCAGAAAGTATAGTGTGCGGAGAAAGGACTCGGGAATCAGATGGCAATTCAGCAGAGACCACAGGAGGTGGGGAAACAAACCTCAAGGAAGGCAGAAAATGCTCCAGCAGGGTAAACCGGAAATGCAAAAAGAGCCTGAAAAGGCCAGTGTGGCTGCTGTGGAACAGAGTGCGCCGGGGCTGAGGTGCCAGGCAGTGAGATCCGAGACGTGGGCCAGATCTCGGGGAGGATGGCTTAGCTTCAGGTTCATGAACGGGCCACGGGGGGAAGCAGGGAGACCACGGAGGCACCTACGCATGGAAGCTGGGACCAAAGTATCAGTTCTGCGCTAGATTTCCTGGGTGTGTGCGCACCTGCGCGTATTCCCATCCCCGCACCCCAGCCGCCTGGCCCTAACGCACGATTTTAGGATCCTCTCTTGCACGATCATTATCCAACACGCACAGGCTATTTGCAGCCCACGCGTGAAGGGTGGGTTATTGTCAGATTCGATTCAAAACAAGGCAGAGACTGCACCCTTACTCACTTTCACTTCCCGAGTACAGGCTGAAATTTAACAAAAGCTGGCTCATGAGCTTTCAAACCCCAGTGTTGTCAGCCCATCTCTCAAACATTTAATAACTGCCAGCTTCATGTAAATATACCCACTGGGCCGTAACCCTACGAACTGGCGCTTAGGATCTATTTTTTTAAATAATACATTTTCGAACAAATTCAACGCAGAATAGAACCCCCATTTTCACCTTTCCCCATTTTCCTCACCCATATTCTGTTTCGTACGTTATATTTCTGTATTACGTAAGAGCTCATGTTCACGGAGGGGGAAAACCAGAAACTGCAGAAGCCATGGTTGAACAAAAGGAGTAAGAATCACTCCTAATTCCTCCCCCTAGAAAAAGTGATATTCATGTTTTGGGGGGTATACACCCTTTCCAGACATTCTTCCATGCATGTAAATAAAATGAGCTCCTCAACACTCTTACACTATGTTATGAACAATTTTCCATGTCAATGAATCCTTCCATATTAGCACCCCCAGTTGGACATGGGATGTGTTTGGATGGGCCGCAGTTTATTTATTTAACCGTCCTACTGTTGGATATTTAGATTCTTCCTGACTTTCCTCTACTCTATATAATAGGGCTAGAGCGGCCATCCCTGTCCATGCATCTATGCACACTTCCTTAATACTATTTCCATTTCTGTTTCATTCTGTTGGAACGTACACATATTTAGAGGCACCTTAAATCCTCTCTGGAAGAAGACTGAGGATAAGTCAATGGCTAACTCACATGTACAGGCCAGGCTTAGGGTCTCTGAGCAATGGCTCTATAGAATTTCTGAGGAAGAGTACGGAGATGTCTGAGAAGGAAGCCAGGCCCACCAACGTGCCCCGCTGGGGATGGTCTGCCCTCATCAAACTGCCCTTGTCCTGGGGCATCTGCATTGCTCAATCGGTTAAGCACCTGACTTTGGATGAGGTCACGACCTTGGGGTCCTGGGATGGAGCCCCGCCTCGGGCTCCTTCCTTAGCAGGGAGTCTGTTTCTCCCTCTCCCTCTGCCCCTCCCCTACTTGTGGGCAGGCGCATTCTGTCTGTCTCTCCCCAGCTCAAATAAATTTTAAAAATCTTAAAAACAAAACAAAACAACCATTCTTGTCCTGAAAGAGGGGGCCCAGCAGGGCCCAACAAGCTGCGGGATTTAACTGAACTGGGGATCGAAGGAGTTAGGTTCTGCCTCCTACACTGCTCTTCCGACCCAGGGTCCTGACATTTTCACGAACAGTGCACCGGGAACGAGGGGCTCGGGGCAGGCAGGATTCACACATTCATTCCTTTCCTCTAAAGACACTGGCTGTGTGCCTTCCAGATGCCAGGCCCTCCAGCAAATGCAAGAAATAAGTTAAATCATACTCTTTACACCAAGGAGCTCACGATCCAGCTGTACAACGGGGCTGCACACCTTCCACACACCACCCCACGTGCATGGGGTACCGGCCAGCAGGTGAAAATGTAGGCTCTGATTCAGTAGATCCAGGCCAGGGCCCAAGAACATGCATTTCCACCAAGCTCCCAGGCAATGCTGGAACTGCTGGCCCGCGGACCATACCCACCCCACAGCTCTAGAGCCATTCCGCCTATGTGACAGCCACTAGTCACAGGCGGCTGTCGAGCACTTGAAATGTGGTCTATCCAAGCAGAGATGTGTCGTCAGTGAAAAGTACACACCAGGTCTCAAAGACTCAGTACGAGAAAAGTGTGAAACATCTCATTAACAAATTTCATATTGGCTGTATGTTGAAATGATAATGTTTTGGATCTATCAGGTTAAATAAAAATACTTCTAAAATGATTTCACCTGTTTTCTTTGACGCTTTTACATGGCTGCTAGAAAATTTACAATTACATATGTGGTTCACATTGTATTTTTGTTGGAGAGGCTGTTCTAGGGCAAGACGGTTGGTAAGTGTCGTCCGAAGTCCGCATATGCCAGAATCGTCTCTGGGAGTGGGGTGGTATTGTTAGTTACAAATGCAGTTTCCTGGGCCTCATGTGGAAGTTCGTGAAGTTTGGCTGTGGCGCTAGAGATAGACAAGCAAGTTCTGGAATGACCAGTAATGGTGAGGACATTACGAATAGGATCCTGAAGTTGCTGAAGGAGGAGGTCAGGGAAGGCTTCCTGTAGGAGACAAGAGCAGCTCTGTCCTGGCAGGGACGGTCACATAAGCTGGGCCTGCCCTGCCAAAGAGCGGTCTGAATTGCCTCAATGGGTTCATGTGTCCCCTGGAAGGCAGGGGTCATCTGATAGCCCCACAGATGTGAATTTTCCCTCAAAAGGCCTGCTGGAGGATGCCTTACAGCTGGCTTCTCTCCCACCTCCTCCTTCTGTAACAGATTTTCTTCTTTCCCCACTCTGACTTCGTCTGGGCCCTCCTGAGGCCAAGACAAGCCCATATGCTGAGAGTGCTGGGTCAATGGGTCCTCTCCAGAGCCATGAGTACCCAGCTGGCCTGCACTGCTCCTCCCCTGACCCCCCAGCCCTCAGGGTGTGAGAGCAGCCACACTTGTCACCTAATTCCACCAGCAGGGCCGAGCCCATGGAGCCTCAGCATCTGCCCTCCCTGTCATCCCCCAGGCCCACTAGCCATGGGAAAAGGAAGCACCACTAAACTGCCGCTGGTGACATTTTCTCTGCCCATAGGTCACCTTTCAAAGAACGCAAATCCCTTGGCTCAGACTCCAGAGGAAACCAAGCCAAGGTGGCCCAACTGAGTTGACTCAGTATGCGGGGCTCGCAAAACTGTGTGGTTCCGTGTCTTGGTGCAGACACCATATGGCAGAGCGCTGGGCGCTGGGATAAACGTCTGGGGCCATGGGCAATCCCCAGTCCAAATGCTACCTGACCCGGGAAGCGTGGCAAAGGGGTTCTGTAGCCTGGGTGGTGCTCAGTCTGCAGGGCTGGGTTTGAGCAATAAAACCTCACACGCAAGGTGGAGGGGGCTGCCTCATGCAGAGGCCTGCCCAGGCCCGGGGCGCATGGGCAGGGAGGCAGGAAGGCCCTGCCCAGCCGGGAGTTCTGCTGCGGCCACCTTTTCAGGCAGGAAGTGGATTCCCCTGTCACTCCAACAAGGGCCTGACTCAGCTGGAAGAAAAGCAGGGCCCACTGCCAGGGTCCTTCTTAGAGAGAGAGGCG